CCCCAACACCCCAACACCCTTATTTCTCACTGTGCATACCAATGAAGCAGGTATACTCTGTTACATTGCCAACTAAGGCAATGGAAAGCAAAAGTTGTATTGCTTAGTAAAGGAATAGAAAAAACTAAACTTCTACCAACATTGAGTGTAATGACCCCAAGAGAATTTATTGAGCTTCTCCAGCAGAGGGCTCTAAGTACACAGAGAGAAGCTGCGAGCCTGCTGTCATCCTCTGCTCTACAGTTTATGCTTTAATGACCAAACACGAGGTGGTGCTAAAGCATGGTGGCATAGGGACTACTTGTTGAACTACTGAAACTCGCTGGGTTGGAAGACGGTAGAGTTCAGCAACACAGCTGGTTGCTCTACACTGTGTTGTTTACTCTCTGGACCGTTTATAATTCCAAGGTTTGAAGATTGAAAAAAGCCCTCCAAACTATCCAGCAATCCAACCCAAACTTGTAGCTCGGTTGATAACAGGAAATTTCACCATTAATTCCGCATCTGCTTGTGTTATTGATTCCTTCTTCACAGCTGACCTCAACTCAGCTGTGTCCTACACGTGTATGAATACTTCTGCGTCAGATCTACATTGTAACTTATGCAACAACTGAAACTTCATTTGAAACTTCCTTATGCTGAAATCTTCTAAATAACCTGCTGTGTACATCCAGAGAAATGTAACTAAACGTCAGGTTGATGCATACCACATAAGGCTGAGGTGTGGGGATAAAAGGAGTTTACTGTTACTATGTAGATTTCCCACAAAAGTATAAATCAAGTTTAATGTAGAGCAGTTAAGCTACAGATGGTTCCTCCATCTTCAGATGCCAAACTTGACCAAAGTTTAACTTGATTCAGAAGCTTCTTCACAGATTCAGCTGCAAAATCGATTTATTTTGCTGTTGCAGATGCTGCTCTGACCGGATTGTGCATCCTCTTCGGACTTTATGATAAAGATTGGACAAATTCTGCACATTTCTGCATTTTATACATGCAAATTCAGCAACACTCAAACTTCCAAATCTGCTAACACACAAGTGTTTTGTGCTCCATGCAGTTTAAATCCATGATTTTGGGTAAACAGCTAAAGGCGTTCATCTGTACTTGGAGTGTTTGCACATTGCTGTGTGTAAGAGACTTTGAGCAGATCTGCAGTCTAAGGCCGGATTAAGACAGAGAGACCTCATTCAGAGGCAAACAATGGACCATTGCTCCAGTCATAATAAGCATTTGGCCTGTGACACAGCACACAGGCCGAGGTCCTCAACTAAATCAGAGCTGCCCTCTGCGCTGAGGACAAGCTCACACTGGCTGCTTGGTGAAAAACCAAGAAGCTGGAGTAGAAAAACTCCCGCACAAGTTCAAATGTACAGGCTCGCTGACAAACAGCAGCTCAGAGCAGGTTTGACTGTGAGGACAATCACAAGACCGGAGCAAAGAAATAATGAATGCAATTCAAAAACAGATATTTACTGGCCTCAGTCTTCAACATGATGAGATACATTTGACTCAGCAGGTCAACACAATGCTGTGTTACACAGTAGCATTACTAGTAACACACCACAGTGATATAATGCACTGTGAAAGCTTGAGCTTTATAACAATAATACTTAAGGAACTGTTGTGTTACACAAGTACTAAACAGCATGTGAATGGACATCATCTTCTTCAGAGTCCAGTGGAAGTGTGCATGTCTTATGTTTGATCAATGACATGTCAGAATCTCTTATAGACCCACTTTGAGTCTCTGGATTATTGCAATAGTCCCAGTGTAGTTGGGTCTCTGGTCCCTGTAGCGATCGCTCATAAAAACCACAGATACATTCCTCTGATCCCCGGTGCTGGGTTAATCCATAAAGCCCAGGCCATGCCTCAGGACTTACCTCAGGACTTAACTAATCTGGTGAGTTATGTGTTTTCCATTTTCAGGACCAAACAAATGATTGTTATATTTGTCAAATTTAGGAGTTGCAGTCAAACCCACCCTGTCCTTCTTCTCCTTCTTTCTTGAGTCACAATTGAATTTCAGTGATCTTTGTCTCTTTTCCGTTGCTGGTCAGAGTGTGGGTGTCGCTCGGGACAGCGGTCGCTGTGTCCTTAGTCTCCGTGTCACTGCGGGGCATGCTCTCAGGTCGAGAACCAGACCCTTTGCCTCCCATGGTCAAGCTCTTCTGGAAGCTCTCCGAGGTGAAGTAGTACACAACAGGATCAAGGGAGCAGTTGAGACTGGCCAGACATAGAGTGATCGGGTAAAGTGTTCGGACAAAGCGCTCCACAGTGCAGTTAGCCAGGGCCTGGGTTCGCACCAGGGCATACAGGAAGAGGATAGAGTTGTACGGGACAAAGCAGATGATGAAGATGCCAAGATGGACAAGAATCATCCGCAGGACGCGTTTCTTTCTGTCACAGCCGTGACTAGCAGTCACGGGGCGACGCAGCGTCCGCAGAACCAGCGAGGAGCATATTAAATTGGCCAAGAGCGGGAGGAGGAAACCAACAATCTGGAAAAAATAATAAAAACATTATGAAAATTACACCTTAATTCTATGTCTTGGTTATCGTAATAAAAAAACAAAGTCATCTGTATGATGTGCATCTCGATTCACCTCGATGAAAATGGTGATTTTAGACAAGTAGGTCTTCCAGGTGTTCTTGGAAAAGCCCTCGAAGCATGTGGTGGCTTTGTGTCGGCTGTTGATGGTAGAGAAGAAGGTCACCGAAATGCCTCCTCCCACAATGGTGAGCCACACGGCGGCGCACATCAGCGCCGCGTTCCTCCGCGTGCGGATGCCGCGTGAACGCAACGGATAGACTATCGCCAGGAAGCGGTCCACGCTGATGCAGGTGAGGAAGAGCATGCTGCCATAGATGTTGGTGATGAAGGCCGTTCCCGAAACCTTACACAGTCCATCTCCAAAAGGCCAGTTGCGGTTCACGTTGTAGAAGACCTTGAACGGCAACGTGAAAACAAACACTAAATCAGATAATGCTAAGTTGGTCATAAATATCGTGGTCTCGTTCTGCATCTTCATCCGGAAACAGAACACAAAGAGTGCGGCACAGTTGGTTATCAGGCCCGACACAAAGACCACGCTGTAAACCGCAGAGTACAAGTTGTACTTGAAGGAGTCGTCAATCCCACAGTCCACCATTCCGGTCTCGTTGATCACCAGGCTAGCCATGTTGAGAGCTCAGCCGCAGAGAGGGGGGGGGCGCCACAAAAAATATAAATAAAAGGGTGCACAACAGCTCAAAAGCTGTCAGGAAACGGGGGTGTTTTAGAGCGGAAATCTGGGGATCAAAGATGTCAGCAGGGGATCCACCAGTCAAGCCCCCTCGGAGTCATCGTCAGTCCTCCTGTGGAGAAAGAAGGAAAAAGCACTTAGTCACTTCCTCATTACAAAACCACTCTAGTTCTCCAGAAAATGTGGTACAACTGAACATGATGCAGATTTCATTTTAGGAATATGGCTAGTTGAAATGTATTACTCTGTGTTTCTACAACTGAATCTCAAGCGTACAATTCTGAAGAAACTACCAGATAGAGCCAAGTATTTAAAAGAAACAAGATACAAACAAAACTACATGGATTATCCATCTGAAGCCATCTATATGTACGTATTGATACAGTCCTAAGATTTGGGCATGTTTGTATGTGACAGGATCGGGAATCATGGAGTCGCTCGTGATTATGTATCACAATATTTTATATTTTAATTCTGAAAGGCACTTATCTGTGAGACATGCCAAAAAGAAAATAATAAACCTGAATCTTAAACTGAATGACATATGTTATTATATATTGTTATCTGGCAC